CAAGAGAATCTACATTGATACTTACATTCATCACTTTGATTCACATACTTTTACTTGGAACATGACTCATAATCATACTAAATCATATATCATATTTCATACATCAGACAAGCTTTATAATGTATTACAATCCATTCATGTTCAGTGAATACAAGAAATAAAAAGGTGAATTAAAACCTGGATCATTCGCATAGTGCACACATTCGTAGAGCGAATCCAAAGGTTTCTCGCACAACGACCCAACTCCTTGTGTAAATCCTCAAACAGAGACCCACCCCTCATAATCATTCACACAATGATTAAATTCGTTGTGCGAATAAACTCTTAATTGTATCAGACCCTAACCCCTCGCATAGCACCCCAAATCGCTATGCGAGAGCCCCAGGCAATGACTCAGACTCCCTAAACACTCGCAGAGCGCACCTATTCGCCATTTGAATAAAAAAATGGCAGTAGTCCCAAACCCCAACCAGGCGTATAACGCCCTAATTCGCCATGCGGATCATCAGACAGAGAGCAAACCTCTCAAACTATTCGCACAGTGAGTCTATCTCGCCAGGGTGACTCGCTGTGCGAATTCATTCGCTCAGCGAGTCTACATAATCTGCAGCACCAAATTTTGCATAATTATGCAACTCAACACCCTTCACCAATTCTAACTAATTTTCCCAAATTCTAACCATCTTAATTCATATTATACACCTAATTAGATTTGACTAATTGATTTTAAACCTTCCTACCATCAATCTAAGGCATTTTATACACAATTTCCACTCCAAATCATCAAATTCATCAACTTAGAGACTCAAATCCTATTGCACCACTTTTGGCACTACTTTCAGCCACTTAAGGACTAAAGAAAGTCCTAATTAGCCTATCTAACCTATTCTAACTTACCAATACAGCCTATAACTCCTAATTCACAATTTCACTACCACACTTCCTCAAAACTTACCTAAAACTAGTATACTTCATTCAAATTTCTCATAAGTCAACCTCATAACAGATTTTTAACATTTCATCTAGTTTATAACATCATAATCATCATCCAAATCAGTTCATATTCATAGTTTCTTCACACACACTTACAATAGCCACAATAAGCACATTCTTTCTAAAATCAAAGTCAACAATTCAACTCATTATATATATAAATAACATATTCTTCACACATGCACAATATAGTTAAATAAACAAAAATAAAATCCAGCTTCCCTTACCTCACTCAAGCTCTACACAGCTCACAAAACCCCGATTAAAACTTGCACCGCAAGAAAACTCAACAGAAACCTACAATTCACCGATTGGAAAGAGGAGACCAACAATAAGTCCAAAAACGAAATCAGAATTTGAGAAAAGAGTCTGATGAACACATGCAAACATAATTTTCTCTTGCATGCATAAGAAAACATAATGACTAAGAAGAGAGGATGAACTTACTGACTCTAAACACAAACCGATCGGTGGAATGGAAAGCTCTAGACACCCGGATTGCTTAGGCACGGTCTGATTGTTGAACAAATGAAGTGAGATTGAAAGAATTTAAAGAGAAGGAGGAGAAAAGAAAAGAGTAGAAGAATTTGGAGAGATATAGTTGTAATCAAAGAATGAGACGAGACTTTTGAAACTTTTCATTTATATATCACTCTTATTTTAATCTAAACAGCTCGGTCTCATCCTTTGCTTACACCTGTCTGCTCAAAACTTCTTTAAACCTCTCGGCTCTTACACTCTCCCCAACAATAACAAAAATTTTTGTCCTCAAAAATTCTCGGAGGAAGACAAGATCTCCAACTGCAAACTCTTCGGCCGGCAAATGATTTTTGCCTACTCTGAGTTGTCCTCAATCTCTCTTGAATCAACTTCACTTACTCTGTCGTTTGCTGAATCAATTATGGCCCAATCAAAACGGATTCTCCATCCTTAAACCAACAAAGTGGAGTCCTACAAAGCCTCCCATAGAGTACTTCAAAAGGTGTCATGCCAATATTGGACTGGTAACTATTGTTGTAGGTGAACTCAACCAATGCCAAAACTTCATTCCAAATTCCCAAATGATCCAAAACACACGTCCTTAGTAAGTCCTCTAGTGTTTGGATCGTTCTCTCTGACTGACCGTCCGTCTGAGGATGATAAGCCGAACTCATCTGCAACCGACTGCCCAACTCGCCTTGCAAAGACTGCCAAAATCTTGAAGTGAACCGAGGATCTCTATCTGAAACAATACTGGACGACACTCCATGCAACCTCACAACTTCCTTGATGTACAACTGAGCAAGTTTTGTCATTGACATTCTCAAATTAATGGCCATGAAGTGAGCACTCTTTGTCAATTTGTCCACCACAACCCAAATGGCATCATGCCCTCTGACCGAACGGGGAAGATGAGTGACGAAGTCCATAGCAATGCTATCCCATTCCACTCGGGAATCTCTAACTGCTGCAGTAAACCTCTCGGTCTCTAATGCTCTACCTTGGCTTTTTGACATGTTAAGCAAGATGACACAAACCAAGCAACATCTGCTTTCATACCCGACCACCAAAATGATTCTTTGAGATCCTGATACATTTTAGTCATGCTTGGATGCATGCTAAAACAACTCTGATGTCCTTCCTCAAGAATCAACCTCTTAATTTCCCCATTATTAGGAACACAAATCCTTCCTCTAAACCTCAAAATATCGTCTGGTCCCAAAACGAAATCCTTCCCTTGTTCACTACCAATCAGTCCTCTTGACTTCTGTAGCTCAACATCTGTCGACTGTTTCTCTCGGATTCTGCTTAGAAGTTCACTTTCTACCACTAAGCGACTGCATATGATACCGCCAGGTTCTAACTCAACTTGTAGCTTCAAATCTCGAAAGCTTTCAACCAATTCTAGTTCTCGGATCATCATTGCCGACACATGCACGATCTTCCTACTCAAGGCATCAACTACTACATTAGCCTTTCCAGGATGGTAGAGTAGATCAAATTCATAGTCCTTTATGAATTCCATCCATCTTCTCTGCCTCATGTTCAACTCCTTTATGAATTCATAGTTCTTCTTACATTGCAACACATTTGTCATCGTGGAGAGCTTTACCAATATTCTTAGGTTCTATCTGAGAGACAAAAGCCACTGTCATGCAAAAATTATTTAAGTTTTGTCTAGTGGTTACCCCTTTTAAGATGTCTTATATGATATTGTGCATTGATATTCCACGAGGCTGTTGATAGCTTTCAGGAACATCTTGTTGTGGAGGAGGATTATCAGTTATGTATATCTTTTCAAGTGCTTTCCTTAAATAATCTTCATCACCTACACCTTGTCTATTTGATTAAAGAGGGTTCTCCTCAAAGTTTATACAACATATATATATTCTTAATTGATAATATATATTAATTAGATTATAACACTGGTTATTAAAATTTTGTGTCTTAGATTTTACGTGATCAAGTCAATTTTCTTGTGAAACTTTTATATTTGATTAGTTAATAAAAATATATGGTCTATATATTATTGTATGTAATGAAATAAATAAATTATATTATAATTAAAAATTTATGATAAATAAATAATATTAAAAATATAAATTATAATTAAATTTAATGATTTATATTAATGTAATTTCTTTTAATGAGAACATAATTATTGAGGCATGTCTATATTGTATTCAAGTTTGTGGTGGTTGTAGCTTCTGATCGATGTCAAGTCATTATTTTTTTTCTTCGTCTTTGTGTGTTTAATTAACTAAAATCGATAATCAATAAATATTTTCATTGTATGTTTTATATTATGATTAAAATTAATGGTAAATATAATTTGTTTTTAAAATATAATAGTTGTATTTTAAATTTGTAAAAGAGAATTCATATTATGAAATTTTATTTTATTTATAACATAATTATGGAGTTATGTTTATCTTAGATTCTACTTTTCAAATAATACTATGTTAAAATTTATAATGAAATAATATTTTTAATGTATAAATTGTATTTTAAATTTGTAATAAATAATCTATATTGATATGAATTTATTTTTATTTATAGCATAATTATAGAGGTACGTCTATTTTGGATTCTACTTGGCGCTGATTTCGGCCCATTAGTTGACGCGAAGTCATTTTGTTTTTTTTTTTTTTTTTTATTAGTCTTTATTTAGTAATTATTAATAAGCTGGCTAATGTATAATTAATATTTATATGATGTAAGTTTATTAATAAATAATAAACTCTTATATATCATATTTACTCTTAGTTTTATAAATAATTTATATGATGTAAGTTTATTTTTTATTATAAAATGATTATTGAAGGATGTTTATTTTGAATTGTACTTATGGATGAATGTGACCTTTCCGTGGATGACAGATCATCTTCTCTGAATTTTACTTCTATTTTAGTAAAAGTATACCACAATATTTATTTATATTGTTAAAATTGGTATTAAATAAATATTGTAATGCAAAATTTATATTAATAATTCTTTTTATAGCAAAAAGTATTTTTGAACATTAATTTTTTTAGATTTATGATATATATTTTATGTTGATGTAATTTGAAAATTTAATTTAAAAGTAAAATTAAAAGGCATCAAAATAAATATTGTGGAATAAACCATCTTTAAAAAAATTCTCGTCGAAATCACTCCTCTAATTTCGTTAGTTTTTTTAAGCGCGTCATTTTATGTTAGAATTGACATAAACGTCTTCCATGCTCCAAAATTTTCCAAAATTTAACAAGCAACCTGAGAAAATTCAAATTTAAACTTAATTTCACATCATATTTTTTATTTTTATAAATAATATTTTCTTTGACGAGAAATTAGTTTTTAATAAATTTAAATTTTCCTCAAAATAATTTACCTCACAATTTTTAATTATAAAAAAGATTAAAAAATAAAAAATAGTATATTACCTCCGTTTTATTAATTTTCGGGTTTCAACTTTTATTTTAAAAAACTATAATATGCATTCATGGACCATAAACAGTTGATGCTTTCCTACTTAAGGGATGAAGACCAAATCCTTTGTGGGTGAAGAGAAAAATGAAGAGTGTTGTGAGAATGTGTTTCGTCCTTTTCCTTTTATTGGAAGTCGTGTGGTGTGAAGGATGTTGGAAGGAGGAGCGAGAAGCACTTTTGGGCATAAATTCTCGTTTGAACTCTCCTTTCTCTTGGAACACCGACACAGATTGCTGTGAATGGAACCATGTGCAGTGCAACCCCTCCACAGGAAGAGTGGATCAACTAGTTCTTACTGATGGCTAGAGGAAATCAACAAAAAAATATATTAATTACTCAGATTTTTCTGTCCTCAAAGATTTGAAGATCCTCGACTTGTCAGATTCTGAAATAGTTGGTTGTGAGGGGGATGCAGGTATTAATTCGTACAACTTCTATGTCTTCGTCGCTCTAATTACTTACTCAAAACTACGAATTTTATGGAATACTCGTTATTTCAACTTTATTTTTCATATTGCAGAGTTGCCAAATCTGGAGGTTCTCGACATTAGTGGTAACAAGCTGTCTAATGCTTCGACCATTCTACCTTGTTTGGATGGCGTTCCATCTCTTAAGTCGCTTTATTTAAAATATAACAGCTTCAGTACATCTTCATTAAACCACGGTGAGACTAACAATTTATTATTTACTTTAAGAAATGACAACAATAAAATAATTTATTATAATGAAGATCTTCAAATTTTTTATACTATATTTTTTTTTTCACATTTGTTGGCTTCCTTCACAACTTTTGGTTTTAATGAATACATGTGCTTATATATAAGCTTTTGAAAGTGTGTCACCAAAGCTGCCTAATTTGGAGGTCCTGGACATAAGTCATAACTATTTGACTAATGAAATCTTACCATCTATGGAGGGATTCACATCTTTAAAGGAACTGAATTTGGCCGGAAATCAATTGAGCTCGGATCTTCACATTGAAGGTATTATTTGTTATATAGGATATTATATAGTACAAAGGAATATATAATATATTTATTGATCGTAAGGACAATTATTTTTGGCTCTTATCTATTATTGACGAAATTGATTTTGGAAGTAGATAAATATGTGTGAAATTTTATACATATTGTTGTTAGACTTAACTATTGGTTTAGACCGTTCGGTCATTCCTGTTCTGTCTTATGCTGGAGACCATTCGGTCATTCTATTTTGTCTGTTACAGTTGCTTTGATTGATTATATATTGTAGCCTATCTTTGCGTTGTATTTCGGAATTCAATTTTCAATCTCGAAGTATTATTCACATATCATTCTCTCTCTGTCTTTTACTCTCTTATTCTCTCTTCTCTACATCTGTTTTCTATTCTCTGTTTTACGCGAACCCAACAATTGGCGTCCACCGTGGGACTGTGAATCAAGAAATTCCAGAAGCGATGGCAACCAAGTTCGACATAGAGAAATTCAATGATCAAACGACTTCGGGCTGTGGAAGATCAAGATGGAGGCTATCTTGATACAACAGGGCTCCAATGACGCATTGAAGGGTGAGTTGAACATGATTGATGCGATGTCGCAAGAAGAGAAGAAAAGAATGGTTGATAAGGCAAGAAGTGCTATCATACTATGTCTTGGTGATAAGGTACTGAGGGGGGTTGCGAAGGAGAAGATTGCGGCTGGAATATGGAAAAAATTGGAGTCGTTGTACATGACAAGATCGCTGGCTCATAGGTTGTGTCTGAAGCAACAACTCTATTCGTTCAAGATGATAGAATCGAGAACCATAGAGGAGCAACATGCAGAATTCAGCAAGATTGTTGATGATCTGGAGAATATTGACGTGAGGTGGAAGATGAAGATAAGGTTGTTATTCTTCTGAATGCGCTTCCAAGAACCTTCGAGCATTTCTAGGATGCCTTGCTCTATGGTAAGGATCAGGTGATTACTTTAGAGGAGGTTGTGACGTCAATTCGAACCAAGGAGTTTCAAAAACTTCAAGATTCGAAAGCAACCAAGGAGGTGGCATCTGGGCTCATTATGTTGAAAGGTAAATGGAAGAAGCAGGGTGGAAATGGGAAGAAGTCGAAACCAGAAGGTACGAAACAGGTGAGATGTGGCAGAGGCTTCTGAAGGATATGAATATGCTGGTGTTCTGGTGGCTTCATTTGAAGATTCTCAAAGAAGTTGGGTCATGGATTCTGGGTGTACCTATCATATGTGCCCGATGAAAGAGTTCTTTGAAGATCTTGATCAAAAGGAGCATGGAAATGTGTTGCTGGGAAATAACAAGGCTTGCTAAGTGCAAGGAGTGGGGTCGGTAAGGCTGAAGATGTTTGACAATCGTGAAATGATGTTGCAGGATGTGAGGTATGTGCCTGAACTAAAGAGAAATTTGATTTCTATTAGTTCGTTTGATCTTAGAGGTTACTCCACGAGAGTTGAAGATGGAGTGATGAGAGTGTATTATGGAGATTTTGTGGTTGTCAAAGGCAGAAGAAAGAATGGCTTGTACATTATGGAGGGTTCCACTGTCATTGGTCATGCCTCGGTAGCAAGTGAGAAGTCTAAAAATACCGCTCGGCTTTGACACTTGAGGATGGGACATATCAGTGAGAAGGGCCTTGAAGAATTAGAGGAGCAAGGTTTACTTCTGGGAGATAAACTGCAGGAGCTGAATTTTTGTGACCATTGTGTCTTAGGGAAATCACACAGAATCTCGTTCGGTAAAGGGAAACACTTGACCGAACGACCATTTGAATATGCTCATGCTGACTTGTGAGGGCCTGCGAGAACTCAAACTAATGGTTGAGGAGCGTATTTCCTGAGTATAATTGATGATTTTTCAAGAAGAGTGTGGATCTACGTTCTGAAGAATAAGTCTAAAACGTTTCAAAGGTTCAAGGAGTGGCATACACAGACTGAGAATCAATTGGGGTATAAGTTGAAATGCTTGAGAACTGACAATGGTCTGGAGTTTGTTTAAGAGGAATTCAATGAATTATGCAAAGTTAAAGGGATCAAGAGGCACAGGACTGTGGTGGGAACTCCTCAACAGAATGGTTTGGCTGAAAGGATGAATAGAACAATTCTGGCTGAAAGGCTGATCAATTTTGTTATCCATAAACGTGTGTTTCAGTGGATATTTGTGAAATCTTTATTTCTTTATAAAAATATTGGAACTCTTTTGTGTAACATCATACATGCTCGAAATGATTTCTGATTATCATTTCTGCCTTTTTTTTCCTACCAAAATGGTGTAAGTCAGACAGAGAGAGTTGAATTTACATTAATTTCTTCTACCAAGTTAAAGTAAACTTTTAGATGTTTAACGTACACTATAGGTTTTGAAAAAATTACTTTCGGTTATTTGAAAGCAAACTAGTTTTGTAATGCTTCTATTTCAACAGTGAAGAAAAATATAAGGCTTCACGAATTGTAGTTGATTTTGATTAATTCTTAATTTATGGCTTGCAGGATTATTGACTATGTCCCGTTTGACGAATCTTGATTTAAGCGATAATAAAATCCATTCTTTTGTGACCCATCAAGGTATTTAAGAAATAAAATTAAAAAGAATATATGCTCTGTTCTCTTTAGCCTAATTATAGTATTATGTATTTTTTTTTAGTTAATTTAAGTTTTATATGACTTTCAGGTTCAAAAAGTCTAAGTAGATTGGATGTTCTTACTTTAGATGGAAATATGATAGATGGAGACATACTAAGGGAGTCATTACAAGCTTTATCATCATCCATTAGGAAGCTTTCTATGTGTAATAATATATTTAAAGGAACAATTGTAGCTGGAGGTAGTAATATTTATGATTTTCACATGATAATTTAATTCTATGGTTGCTATATTATGATTCATGTCATTTTTTTATTGTGCAGATCTTTATAATTTAAGAAATCTAGAATATTTGAGATTGGATGGAAGCAGCAACGTGAAGAATGAATTTTTTAAAAGTATTGGGAATTTAACATCCTTAAAAGTTCTGTCTCTAGCAAATTGTCATATAAATGACACTCTTCCTACGACTGGTAATTATATCATTAGCTTGTCTTTTTAAGTTATTTATAACATATATGTTATGCATAAATTGCTCTTAGTTTAGTTGAAATCTTTATATCTTATATTATAACCCTTGCAAGACTATCTGTTTTTTTGTCAAAATTTTATATTTCAGATTGATTTGTGAAAATTTCATATTTCAGATTGGTTTAAGTTGAAGAATCTCGAAGAGTTAGATCTAAGTCAAAATCTATTTGTGGGACCACTCCCTTTGTCTTTCTTAAATATGACATCTATTCAGAAGTTGGAACTTTCACGAAATCAATTTAGTGGAAAGTTTGATTCTAATATTGCTACTCTGACATCACTTGAATATTTTGGTTTTACAGAAAACCAATTTGAAGTTCTTGTTTCTTTTAGACCATTTTTCAATCTCTCAAACCTGAAGTTCATATATGGTGAAAGAAACAAAGTCATATTAGACTTACGACCTAGTATGCAAACTTGGATTCCTAAATTTCAATTACAAGTGCTTAGTTTGCCGTCAATGATTGCTACACATTCTCTTCCGCTCCCCAGATTTCTTCTACATCAAAACAATTTGACTAGCTTAGATTTCAGTAATTATTGGTTTGAAGGAGGATTTCCTCATTGGCTGTTAGAAAACAACACAAAATTGACTGAAGCTCTTTTGAGAAATTGTTCTTTGAGTGGTACTATGCAACTACCATTGAGATCTCTTTCTGGGTTACAGCGCCTTGATGTGTCTGACAATACCATAATTGGTGAAATTCCAAGCAAGAATATGAGTGTTGTTTATCCAAATTTAGTTTATGTAAACATGTCTAGAAACCACATCCAAGGTTCAATTCCTCGTGAATTAGGTCAAATGAAGTTATTACGCGAGTTGGATCTTTCATACAACCAATTGTCTGGAGAAATACCAGAAGACATGTTCAAAAAGGACATGAACCCTTACATTAGAAACCAACTCTCATACCAACTCTATGTCTTGATACTTTCAAATAACAAGTTTGAGGGACCCGTTTTTACAATACCCACTGATTTAGAGTACTTATCATTGAATGATAACAATTTTAGTGGTGAACTTCCGAGCAACATTTTTGACATATCCATCATTTCATTGGATGTAAGCAACAATCATTTGGTAGGAAAGATTCCAAGCTTTGGTAATACAATGACAAATTTGTTGGAACTTCGTATGTCCAATAACAGCTTTGAAGGGTTCATTCCATTAGAATTGGCACAACAACCATATCTACTTTATTTAGATCTCTCTCAAAATCATTTGACGGGCATTGTACCATCATTTCTGAATTCTTCTCTAAAATTTATCCATTTGAGCAATAATCATTTTATTGGAGTGTCAAAGAAAATGTTCAATGGAAGCTCTCCTGTGGTGATGTTAGACCTTAACTACAATGAAATATCTGACAACATTCAAGATATGATACAAGACCTTAGTTATTCAAAGTTGAATTTTCTCTTTTTAAAAGGTAATCACATTACTGGGGATATACCAAAGGAGTTATGCCAGATGAAATATCTAACCATGTTAGACCTTTCACACAATAAATTTTCTGGAGAAATACCCCCTTGCTTTGGGATAATGCCTTTCGATAATAATAACCTTGATTCATCATTAAAATTACTCAAAGGAAGCTTCTTTATTGAGGAACGTGTAACGGAAGCTACATCAAGAAGAACGGCGGTACCTCGCGCACCAGTATCAACAAAGCAACAGAAAGTGACAGCGAGTTTCACTTCAAAAAGAAATATCTATATTTACATGGGAAGTACTCTTACTTACATGTCTGGAATCGATTTATCACAGAATAAACTGAAAGGAAATATCCCGTTTGATATTGGGAATTTGACAAGAATCCAAGCATTAAACTTGTCTCATAATGATTTAACTGGACAAATTCCAGATTCATTCTCAAATTTGGTTCATACAGAGAGTTTAGATCTTTCTTTTAACAAGTTGAGTGGTCAAATTCCTCCAAAACTCAATAATCTAACATTTCTTCAAGTATTAAGTGTGGCACACAACAACTTATCAGGTCCAATTCCTGAAGGAGCCCAATTTAACACATTTACTAGTACTAGCTATGAGGATAATCCATTTCTCTGTGGACCTCCGTTAGCAAAGAGTTGTCATCAAACTCCTACAATTATTCGACATAAACCAAATTATGAGGAAAGATCGATAGACATGTATTTCTTTCGTGTGAGCTTTGTTGTGTCATATACATTAGCATTGCTAGCAACTGCAGCAGTTTTATACATCAATTCCTACTGGAGGCAAGTCTGGTTTTATTACATGGAATTAGTGAGTTCAAATTGTTACTACTTTATTGTGGATAACTTTTGTAGGTTTTGTAATGCTCGCAATATATAATAACCATTGGATATTTGTTTCGATGTTTCCTTTTAAGAGTGAATAAGAAAAGCCATACATTTCTGGCTTAATATAATAAGATGAAATTTAAATTTCTATATTCCATAAATTGTTGTTCAGGAATCAATATTTTTTTTTTAGTCTTTTAAGTTCTTCATTTATACTGTCATGAGAGAATTAAGATAAGATTTTTTTTTCGTATAGCCTGAAATAATATCAATGCTTAATATATTTTTAGTACTTCTATAAGTTAAACACTTTTAGTCTATATAAAATCATAATATTTTCATTTTATTCTTTAAAACCTTTTTCAGTATCTATGTTTTACAATCTGAAACGACAAACGTTATGATTTTATAAAAATCAAATCTGTATTAAATAGCAAGAAAGAACTATTACTAATAGAAAATTATGGAAACTAAAAAGTTTTAGAACACATGAATCCCTTAATAATAATTTAATTTTTTTATTTTTACAGTGTGCATAGTATTTTATTAGTGGAAAGAGTTAAATCTATAATCTTTCTTTTCCCTTCAAATTCATTAAATCAATTTTTATAACTTATAGGACGAGTTGAATCTACAATTTTCCATTTTTTTCAAAAATATTTTATAATTTATTCTCTATTTCCTCCTCTTTATGCAAATTTTTTATGATTTTATGTTTCACACGCATTATTTTTTGCTTACCACCCNTAATTTAATTCTATGGTTGCTATATTATGATTCATGTCATTTTTTTATTGTGCAGATCTTTATAATTTAAGAAATCTAGAATATTTGAGATTGGATGGAAGCAGCAACGTGAAGAATGAATTTTTTAAAAGTATTGGGAATTTAACATCCTTAAAAGTTCTGTCTCTAGCAAATTGTCATATAAATGACACTCTTCCTACGACTGGTAATTATATCATTAGCTTGTCTTTTTAAGTTATTTATAACATATATGTTATGCATAAATTGCTCTTAGTTTAGTTGAAATCTTTATATCTTATATTATAACCCTTGCAAGACTATCTGTTTTTTTGTCAAAATTTTATATTTCAGATTGATTTGTGAAAATTTCATATTTCAGATTGGTTTAAGTTGAAGAATCTCGAAGAGTTAGATCTAAGTCAAAATCTATTTGTGGGACCACTCCCTTTGTCTTTCTTAAATATGACATCTATTCAGAAGTTGGAACTTTCACGAAATCAATTTAGTGGAAAGTTTGATTCTAATATTGCTACTCTGACATCACTTGAATATTTTGGTTTTACAGAAAACCAATTTGAAGTTCTTGTTTCTTTTAGACCATTTTTCAATCTCTCAAACCTGAAGTTCATATATGGTGAAAGAAAAAAAGTCATATTAGACTTACGACCTAGTATGCAAACTTGGATTCCTAAATTTCAATTACAAGTGCTTAGTTTGCCGTCAATGATTGCTACACATTCTCTTCCGCTCCCCAGATTTCTTCTACATCAAAACAATTTGACTAGCTTAGATTTCAGTAATTATTGGTTTGAAGGAGGATTTCCTCATTGGCTGTTAGAAAACAACACAAAATTGACTGAAGCTCTTTTGAGAAATTGTTCTTTGAGTGGTACTATGCAACTACCATTGAGATCTCTTTCTGGGTTACAGCGCCTTGATGTGTCTGACAATACCATAATTGGTGAAATTCCAAGCAAGAATATGAGTGTTGTTTATCCAAATTTAGTTTATGTAAACATGTCTAGAAACCACATCCAAGGTTCAATTCCTCGTGAATTAGGTCAAATGAAGTTATTACGCGAGTTGGATCTTTCATACAACCAATTGTCTGGAGAAATACCAGAAGACATGTTCAAAAAGGACATGAACCCTTACATTAGAAACCAACTCTCATACCAACTCTATGTCTTGATACTTTCAAATAACAAGTTTGAGGGACCCGTTTTTACAATACCCACTGATTTAGAGTACTTATCATTGAATGATAACAATTTTAGTGGTGAACTTCCGAGCAACATTTTTGACATATCCATCATTTCATTGGATGTAAGCAACAATCATTTGGTAGGAAAGATTCCAAGCTTTGGTAATACAATGACAAATTTGTTGGAACTTCGTATGTCCAATAACAGCTTTGAAGGGTTCATTCCATTAGAATTGGCACAACAACCATATCTACTTTATTTAGATCTCTCTCAAAATCATTTGACGGGCATTGTACCATCATTTCTGAATTCTTCTCTAAAATTTATCCATTTGAGCAATAATCATTTTATTGGAGTGTCAAAGAAAATGTTCAATGGAAGCTCTCCTGTGGTGATGTTAGACCTTAACTACAAAGAAATATCTGACAACATTCAAGATATGATACAAGACCTTAGTTATTCAAAGTTGAATTTTCTCTTTTTAAAAGGTAATCACATTACTGGGGATATACCAAAGGAGTTATGCCAGATGAAATATCTAACCATGTTAGACCTTTCACACAATAAATTTTCTGGAGAAATACCCCCTTGCTTTGGGATAATGCCTTTCGATAATAATAACCTTGATTCATCATTAAAATTACTCAAAGGAAGCTTCTTTATTGAGGAACGTGTAACGGAAGCTACATCAAGAAGAACGGCGGTACCTCGCGCACCAGTATCAACAAAGCAACAGAAAGTGACAGCGAGTTTCACTTCAAAAAGAAATATCTATATTTACATGGGAAGTACTCTTACTTACATGTCTGGAATCGATTTATCACAGAATAAACTGAAAGGAAATATCCCGTTTGATATTGGGAATTTGACAAGAATCCAAGCATTAAACTTGTCTCATAATGATTTAACTGGACAAATTCCAGATTCATTCTCAAATTTGGTTCATACAGAGAGTTTAGATCTTTCTTTTAACAAGTTGAGTGGTCAAATTCCTCCAAAACTCAATAATCTAACATTTCTTCAAGTATTAAGTGTGGCACACAACAACTTATCAGGTCCAATTCCTGAAGGAGCACAATTTAACACATTTACTAATACTAGCTATGAGGATAATCCATTTCTCTGTGGACCTCCGTTAGCAAAGAGTTGTCATCAAACTCCTACAATTATTCGACATAAACCAAATTATGAGGAAAGATCGATAGACATGTATTTCTTTCGTGTGAGCTTTGTTGTGTCATATACATTAGCATTGCTAGCAACTGCAGCAGTTTTATACATCAATTCCTACTGGAGGCAAGTCTGGTTTTATTACATGGAATTAGTGAGTTCAAATTGTTACTACTTTATTGTGGATAACTTTTGTAGGTTTTGTAATGCTCGCAATATATAATAACCATTGGATATTTGTTTCGATGTTTCCTTTTAAGAGTGAATAAGAAAAGCCATACATTTCTGGCTTAATATAATAAGATGAAATTTAAATTTCTATATTCCATAAATTGTTGTTCAGGAATCAATATTTATTTTTTAGTCTTTTAAGTTCTTCATTTATACTGTCATGAGAGAATTAAGATAAGATTTTTTTTTCGTATAGCCTGAAATAATATCAATGCTTAATATATTTTTAGTACTTCTATAAGTTAAACACTTTTAGTCTATATAAAATCATAATATTTTCATTTTATTCTTTAAAACCTTTTTCAGTATCTATGTTTTACAATCTGAAACGACAAACGTTATGATTTTATAAAAATCAAATCTGTATTAAATAGCAAGAAAGAACTATTACTAATAGAAAATTATGGAAACTAAAAAGTTTTAGAACACATGAATCCCTTAATAATAATTTAATTTTTTTATTTTTACAGTGTGCATAGTATTTTATTAGTGGAAAGAGTTAAATCTATAATCTTTCTTTTCCCTTCAAATTCATTAAATCAATTTTTATAACTTATAGGACGAGTTGAATCTACAATTTTCCATTTTTTTCAAAAATATTTTATAATTTATTCTCTATTTCCTCCTCTTTATGCAAATTTTTTATGATTTTATGTTTCACACGCATTATTTTTTGCTTACCACCCATTTGTATGCTATGTATATATCTGTTACTCGAAAACACATTTTTGTGCTTAGCACTTTATTTTAAATTTAAGACAAGTATTACTACTCTATGAACATATTATAGATCTTTTATATTTTTTTTATAGATATTCTATAATGTTTTTATGAGAAATTAAATGATTATTAAGTTCCAATGCGTTGTCAATGCATAAAAATCAATACAATTTAAAAGCTAAGAAATATGATTTATATAATCTTTGAGAAAAAAAACATTATGGATGTGAAAACATAAATTAAGCTCAAATTATTTTATCATTTGTCTTTTTTTTCTACTTTAGATTTTATGAAAGAAAATTTACTATTTTTATTTGTTTTGTGCGGTTAAAATATATGATAATATAAGAGATATAACCCTAAGTCATTAAAACACAAATCCATCATATATTATAGTAACTTAATATTTAATAAGAAATATGATTAATTATAAAAAAAAATTTGAGACTAAAAATAATAACAAATATGTGTCTCATAAGGTCGAGGACTTTAATTTTATTCTTTTAAAAATAGTTTTAATTAAGTTTTAAGTCTTGATAAATTTAAGAATCTTCAAGTCCCTATTAAATTTTTATGAGTACTCAATATATTTTTCATGTGAACTGTTTCCTTTTTATGTTAATTTGGTAACAAAATAATTTTCTTATTCTATCATTTTGCTTAATTATTATCATATATTATTTTATCATTCTATAATTCTATAATTGTGTAAATCTATATTTTTGTACTTTTATAATTTCATAATTTTATAAATTTATAAATTCACGATTTCATAATTTTATAATTTTATAATTTTACCAAAAACATAATTTTTAATGTCAATTATATAAGAAAAAAATAATAAAGAANAATAATAACAAATATGTGTCTCATAAGGTCGAGGACTTTAATTTTATTCTTTTAAAAATAATTTTAATTAAGTTTTAAGTCTTGATAAATTTAAGAATCTTCAAGTCCCTATTAAATTTTTATGAGTACTCAATATATTTTTCATGTGAACTGTTTCCTTTTTATGTTAATTTGGTAACAAAATAATTTTCTTATTCTATCATTTTGCTTAATTATTATCATATATTATTTTATCATTCTATAATTCTATAATTGTGTAAATCTATATTTTTGTACTTTTATAATTTCATAATTTTATAAATTTATAAATTCACGATTTCATAATTTTATAATTTTATAATTTTACCAAAAACATAATTTTTAATGTCAATTATATAAGAAAAAAATAATAAAGAATAATAGTAAATTTTGAAAGGTAACACTCGATTATTTTATTTTTGAAAAATTATATCATAAATAAAATCTCTATTAATGGAATTTCATCTTATAAAAATCATCATATCTCAATGTCTTTTTTAAAAGCTTTTCTATAACTTCTCGCTACATTTTATCTTATCTTTCATCTGATTGAGGATCAAGATCATAGGAGTAATCCTTCCATAGAACTCTACACATGTAACCAATTAGAATTCAAAACAAAGTAAGTTCATTTTTTTCTTCTTTTTGAGTTAGTATATTGTTTTTAGTTGCATGTGCCTCTCTGGTCATACATGCGACTCAAAATAGCTCAAAGTTGTTAGCAAAATCATGAAGATAGAAATTTGATGATGTCCAAATAAAGTCTCAAGTGCTTAAATTGCAAGAAAACCTTCATGAAGACTTGTTTAGTGTGTTAAAGCTTTTGTAATTAGTAGAGTTATGTATAGGACATTATTTATTGTTGATTTCATGTATTGTATGCTTTAAAATTCATTTTGGAGTCATAGAAACTCTACAATAATCAATTAGCACTTAAGATAATCGATTATCACATAGAGGTTTTAAAAGTTGCTAAAAACTCATTTACTCTTTGGAATAATCAATTACTAGCTTATGATAATCTATTATCCATAATCGATTATGAGTTACATAATCGATTATCACGACTAGCCGTTGGAGTTTTTATGCATGTTTTTGACCATTTTGCATTCATTAAATGCATAATCGATTACCATAAGTGGATAATCGATTATCACTCGAGAAAATGTAAGACCCAGGGAAAATGTAATAATTAGGAGTTAAAGTGGGTTTTGAGACTTGAGTGTTATTGTTGGTAATTAGGTTTAATGTTTAGATGTTGTTTATAATTATAATTGATATGCTAGTTATTTATGTTCTATTAATAAAATGCAACACATGATTGATATGTTGACAATTGGATGATTTGGTGAGAGTGTGATATTATTAATATGATATGTTGACTTATTAATGGAAGGATGATTTATGATTGAATGGGTGTGGGTTCAATTCTAAGTAGAAAGGGAATTAAGGGAAACCTTTATTTTATTTGTATTTTTACTTAGAGGCCTGAGATAGAAGGAGAATAAACATTTGGATAGGTTTAGTTTTTAAAATATATTATTATAAGTGAAAGTTTGTAAAATAAATAAAATAAAATAAAAGTATAGATAGGAGACGTGAGATAGAAGGAGAATAAACATTTAGATAGGTTTGATTTTTAAAATATATTATTATAAATGAAGAGATAATAGAGATAGAGTTGGGTTGTTTTATAAATATTAAGATACAAAAAGAGTGGTGACATTTTGTGTTTTAGAAACCATAGAAACTCTAAATCAAAGAGAGAAGCAAAAGAGAGAGAGAGACATTTGGGAGAGAAGAGAAATAACAACAGGAACCCTTAGGGCAAAGGGAAGATTGATGGTACTTTGGGATTGTAGATAAAGTCCTAGTATTGGCCAAGGTATGAGAAAACTTACCTTTGTTTTTTTTGTTGTTGTATGACATGAATTATTGAATATCTTGATTGGTTAATTATAGTTTTGATGCATGTATGCATCATTATGATTATGATTATCTGTGGTTATTGTTGGTTAAGAGTTTGTGTATGCATGGGCATAGGGTTTATGTAATATTTGTGATGGTTTTTTCCTATGAATGTATTATGTATGTTTTGTTGGGTTATCCCAACAGAGGGTTTGATGCTAAGAGAGAACAAAGTTATGATATTTGAGGGTTTAATGCAAAAAATATAAGTTGTAAATGGGTTGGGATTGGATTCCCTTCTATTGAGAATAGGTCAAAATAATGTGGGACCATAGGTAGCGTCATCTTTGTTTTAGTGGAGATGGGTCAGATAGGATGGGTCAGATTAATAGGATACATTAGATTCATTTGAAGAGAGGGAAAAACCAAGTGAGAGAAAGGAAGAGAAGAAGCCATTCCGGCATAACATAAAACTTGCATGGTGTTTTCGTTGTTGTGAAGTCGTTAACCATTGGATTGGAATGATATTTTGACAGTGGGTTCCAGACGTATGGGTCTTTATTCTGACTGTTTGGATCGTCAATAGGAGGTCTAGACTGGGAGACAAAAGGCCTCACGTTAGCAGCTCCGTTTTGGAGAATTTCATAAAACCTATGTTGGTGTTCTCATCATTTTGAAAGTCATACCGTTGGGATTAGGCGATCTTTGGACAAAGGGTCCAAGCATATGGTTCCTTCATATGACCCATTCGGAGCGTTAATCGAAACTACTAGTTTGGGAGAAAGAAGGGAAAAAATAGCCTCTCATCAGTTATTTTGAAAGACTTTTCTTTTCACGGTTCTAATTTGTAAGACATATGCTTAGTTAGTTTGGATAAATTGAAAACCCTATTTGGTATTTTTATCGAAGGGAGACTACCCTATTATTGGAGGTATAACATGTCAATGATTGGATCTGGATGTTTCAAGTGATGTATTATATGTGTTTGAGTATGTTTACACGGGTATGCGATGCTTGAATGGATGTATAATGTGTTAACTATGTTTCCACATGATCTAGGGTTGATGTATGTATGTTTGAATGCTTGAATGATTGAATGATGTCTAGGATGTGTTTCGTTTTGGCAATAGTTGATTATCATTAGTCGTAATCAATTATTTGCGCGCCGATATTGAGTTTGGTTGTGAAAATAATCGATTATCTAGAATGATATCGATTATCTCCTCTGTATGATGTTTCTGGGTAATTTTCATTGAGATAATCGATTATCAAATGAGCAATGAAATGCAAAAGGATAGCTCAGTTACCTCAAGCTAGAGGTACGTTCTCATGTTTTTTTGCCCATTTATTAGCTTTTCACTGTCCTAATTTCATTGCAATGTCTAGTTTGAGTTTAATCATGCTAAGCCTCATATTTCTAGCTTAGTTCAGTGTGTTTACACATTATAGAGTCATTATTATTGTTGTTTTCTCATTTGAATCATTAGAACTCAAATTTGGTGGTGAGGTTGCTTAAA